GGGGGGGGGGGGGGGGGGGGGGGGGGGGGGGGGGGGCGGCCCTTGGCTTCCTTCATTCTGGGATTTGCCTCTCTGTACTCCTCCTTTTTCTCTTCAATTAATCTAAGTGAATTTTGCTCCTTGCAGCCAGAGCTCTTGCCAAGGATTTGGAGTCACCAAGTGTGATTTTTTTTTTTCCTGTTCTTTCCCCTTACGCTCCCCTAAATCTAGGAAAATGGAGAAAAAAATTGAAATGACCAGTAACTATGCGACTGTCACCAAACATTACAGTGAGAGTCCGTTTTCCTAATTCATTCACAAACCGATCTGCAGGACTGCCATTCATAATACTGTTTCTGTATCAAAACTGATTGTGAGCTGCTAACATCTAGGGTAATAATTTCCCAAACTTGTTTAAATGTAGTGTGTGTGTGTGTGTGTGTGTGTGCGCGCGCGCGCGCGCGCGCATTCACATGCGTGTGCTCACATGCGTGCACACATGTACATACACATGTGAAATACCTTTGCCTGTTTGTTGGTTAATGGTAGGGCACAATACACAACAGGCTGTAGGCTGGTGGCTGATCTCTAGTGACTGTAAGACTCTGTACAAGTCTGTTCAGACTTTTTAGACCTAAGTGTCGTCATTAACCCTAAAATAAGGACAGCAGGGCTGTCACCATTGGAGTGTTATAAGGATTAAATGACAGTCGCTACTCATCACTCCTGCCCGACACACAACGGTGAATGACAAGTCTCTTATTTGGCGGTGGTCGGATGAGTTCTACCCACGAACGTTAAGTCCTTCTGCTATGTAAGGGCTATGAACACATCAACTATTTGCTTCATTTTGCTAAGCCATTACTGATAATCCTTCTCATTCTAAGTATGCTGTCTCAATTATTCTCTGACCTTGGGAAGAGAGCAGGCCTTTTGTCCGAGAGGGGTAAATGCAAACAGCAGCTCAGAGTTGACCATTAAAAATGTGTTCATTCTCTTGAATGGACTAAAAACACGTGAGAGGAAGGTCTTTATGAAAGCCGCAACGATGGCCTCCTCTTAGACCCTTTCCGTCAGCTGGAGGAGGGATCTTGATTTGATTTGGGTGTGATTCCGTTTGTAACTGAATTAGCTTCGCACACCATTAAAAACCTATCTGCGGACTTGCCCTGCAGAAATTTTGCTTTTATGAACAGGACTTCATTTCAGAGCTCCCCCTCCCCATGCACCTTTTTTTTTTTTCCCTCAGAAAGTTATTAAGCCTAAAGCTTTCTAGGATTCCCTTCTTCATGTCTCTTTATCTTAATTTTTATAAGAACATGAGTGCATTACGGCATTCCTGTTAGCTATCGCTTTTGTTCTACGGAGTGGAGAAAGACGGCTCAGAATTCTCTTCGGCATTTATGCTGAGAATTCTGTCGTGAGGGAGGTTGAGAATTCCTAGGGAGAGTAGAAGAAGGAGGAGTTGGGAAAATAGTCTAACAGCAGGTGTGAGCCCAGTGAGATGGTGCGTATCTCTATTCTCAGCACCCAGCGGGGCAGAGCCAGAGAGATCTCTGTGAGCTCGAGGCCAGCCTGGTCTACTTGCCAGGACAGCAGAGAGACACTGTCTCAAAACAAACAAACAAACAAACCAAAAGTAA